TTCTCTGACATTTTCCTTCACTTTTTACAGGGGTTGAAAATTGTATCTATTTTTTTTCCCGAATAAAACATCTGTACCCAAAATGGAAACAAATAATACCATTTTTTTCAACGTGTAAATGAATTAAACTTCAGGAAATAGCGGAGCTCTCTGCTAGTGACACTTTCTGCCGGTTGATCGAGGAAAAATTTGATTCGGGTGTGCCACCAGAAGTTTGCTAAAAATTGTGGATTCGATGCGAATCGAAATTTTTCCTGAAATGCGAAACGAAATTCCACTTCGCCAGGTTCGTTTCGCTCATCTCTAATCTTTCTTATTAATTTTTTTTTTCCCATTTTGTAAGAATTGTTGGTTTGTGATTTTCTAAATGTTAGTGGGAGTCAAAAATTAATATTCATTTTTCAACCACAGCAACAAGTAAATTTAAAGGGTGCTGGAATGGAATTTTTTTTCATCAAACAAATGAATTTCTAACTGTAAATGTGGGTTTTCGTTTGAGGAAATTACATTGCTTTTCACATTTGATTTTGGAATGAAACAAAATTTTTAAGGTCTTTTAAAGAAGTATTCACCAAGCCATGGAATGTACAAAGAATGTTTTGATATAATGTTTGTACGAATACTCATCATGAATATTTGTTTGAAAATTCTACTAGAGTATAGCCAAGCATACAAAACTGAAGGATATAGGACTGTGTTGTCTAACTATTTTGGACCAATTAAAGCTGAAGTTCAGGTATTTCATGCATTTCAAATGTAAAATACCAGAACTTGATCCTAATTCAGCATTTTGTATTATAATTCTCTCAGAGGAGAGAGGATGGAACTATCTGGGGCTAATTATGTATCCTGCATTCACATGTGCTGACAAAAACATGCTGACAGGAGGAGAGAAGGGAAGAGATGACCTCCATCCCAATCTGTTGCTGCTCCCTCCCTGTCTTAATCATCACAATCTGGAGATGGAGAGGCGACCTAATCGTGCTGCTTAAAGCGAAACTTCACCTAAAAAGGGGAAGCTGATCTTTTCCGCCTCCTCCTTCCCTCTTCTGCCACTTTGACACGTGTATTTTTTTTTTTGGGAGAATGGGTACCTAGCCACCTAGGCAATCTGAGCGTAAAATTGCCCCCCCCCCCCCCTTTGCCCACAGCCTTCTGGGACACATCACAGGTCTCAAAAGGCTACAGGACCATTCACAAAGCAAAGCATGGCTTGTATATAAAAAAGGTGCAGCGCTTATATATTAAAACATGCAAGATATCAAAAATGCAAGAGTGTATCCCTGCATGTCCCCTATAGCTCTTTACTCTGCAGGTAGTTGGAAGCTCACCAGAGATAATGCATATATTAAACGTCCTGCGCCCAGAGCATACCCCCTATGAGTAAGTGCGGTTGCACGAAACGCGTCAGGGAGGAACTGCGGCACAGTGACGTTTACCACCGTCGGCACCATTGGAGGGCGGCTTCCCGGCGGCCAACTTTATTGTCTGGTCAGTATTGTTTTTTATTATACCCTGTTGCTGGATGAAAAAATAAACGCACGCATGCTTAAGCGGTATCACGCTATTCTGGCCTCCTTGTTTCTTTCTGGGGCTCTCTGGTGAGCTTCCAACTACCTGCAGAGTAAAGAGCTATAGGGACAGAGCCATGCATGACAGCTGAGGGTCCACATCATAAAGTTTGACCAGATCTTGCCTTTGATGAGTCCTGGAACCATACCTTGAGAGGAGTTTATCTCTTACATGCGCATATTGGTTGTGCATCTGGTGAGTGCACAATCTTTTACCAGTTTTGGATATCACCATACATCACCTTTTTTGGCTATCACCGTGTGTCAATAGAGATCCATCTGATCCTTCACCTCACCCTACCCACTGGGAGATTGTGAACTATATATTTGTGTGTTTATTTGAGACTATAAGGGGCAGTATAATAACTATACCCTGCCTGCGTTTTTGCAGGGATACACTCTTGCATTTTTGATATCTTGCATGTTTTAATATATAAGCGCTGCACCTTTTTTATATATGAGTTTTTGGAGGTTTTTTTGGTACTTTTTGTGTTCAGCAGCTTTGTTACCTTTAGCGCTCACTTTATACCTATTTTAAAGCATGGCTTGTGCATGCTACTGCAGAAACCCATAGACTAGTGAAGAATCGGCCCTGGTGAGGACAGCACTGGATCCCTGGCCAGGTAAATGTCCTTTTATAAAAAGTCAGCAGCTGCAGTGTTTGACTATATATATATATATATATAATATATATACACACACATACACACAATTTTTTCGTGAAGGGTGGGGGGGGGGGGGGTTGAAGCTCTTCGCTATCACAAAAATACAGCAGAGTAAAGTAAGGCTGCACTATCTGGCAGGACTGTATAAATGTTAGCACTGGATAGCAGGAATACAAGTTCCTTAAGAGGAACAACCGCTCCTATATATCTATTTTAAATATAAATTTAATGGTTTGCCTGGAATTCAGCTCTAACTGTTTAACAGCATTTAAATTACTTATTTATAGTTCACATTAAATTTAATCAATAATTCTTTTATATAAGCCAACTTTATTTGTGAAGGGGAATCAACCTACATCACAATGTTCTCTACTGTGGAACTGTAGGTGAAAGACAAATGAGTACGGTAATTGGCATACAGAATTATACTCTCTGGCAACTCTTTAATAAATATATGCTCAAGGTGATGTGGCTATGAGCTCTATAGTTAACTAAATTATCTAACCAATGAAGAAGGTAGCCACACACTCTGAATTGTTTGTCAAATTCTCTCTCATTGTTTCTCTGTGAACTGTTATATAGTGTTGCTTTTGTGATTTTTAGGTTTCTGTTTTTGGATACTTTATATTCAGGTCCTATATTTTCTTTTCCTACTTCCATTTTTTGCTTTTTGGAATATTGCAAAAATGCAGAATCAATGTCTACATAAAGTTCAATACCTCTATCAAGTGATTTGGCACTAAAGACATACCGTATTTTTCGCTCCATAAGACGCACCTGACCATAAGACGCACCTAGGTTTTAGAGGCGAAAAACAAAAAAAAAATATTCTGAACCAATGGACTGCAGACACAGTACAGGGGATGACCAGAGACTGCGGACACAGTACTGGAGATGACCAGAGACTGCGGACATACTACAGGAGATGACCAGAGACTGCAGACATACTACAGGAGATGACCAGAGACTGCGGACACAGTGCAGGAGATGACCAGAGACTGCGGACACAGTGCAGGAGATGACCAGAGACTGCGGACACAGTGCAGGAGATGACCAGAGACTGCGGACACAGTGCAGGAGATGACCAGAGACTGCGGACACAGTGCAGGAGATGACCAGAGACTGCGGACACAGTGCAGGAGATGACCAGAGACTGCGGACACAGTGCAGGGAGATGACCAGAGACTGCGGACACAGTGCAGGAGAATGACCAGAGACTGCGGACACAGTGCAGGGATGACCAGAGACTGCAGACACAGTGCAGGGAATGACCAGACACTGCAAACAACGCAGGGAATGACCAGAGACTGCAGACAGTGCAGGGAATGACCAGAGACTGCAGACAGCGCAGGGAATGACCAGAGACTGCAGACAGCGCAGGGAATGACCAGAGACTGCAGACAGCGCAGGGAATGACCAGAGACTGCAGACAGCGCAGGGAATGACCAGAGACTGCAGACAGCGCAGGGAATGACCAGAGACTGCAGACAGCGCAGGGAATGACCAGAGACTGCAGACAGCGCAGGGAATGACCAGAGACTGCAGACAGCGCAGGGAATGACCAGAGACTGCAGACAGCGCAGGGAATGACCAGAGACTGCAGACAGCGCAGGGAATGACCAGAGACTGCAGACAGCGCAGGGATGACCAGAGACTGCAGACAGCGCAGGAGATGACCAGAGACTGCAGACACAGGGCAGGAGATGACCAGAGACTGCGGACACAGTGCAGGAGATGACCAGAGACTGCGGACACAGTGCAGGGAGATGACCAGAGACTGCAGACAGTGCAGGGATGACCAGAGACTGCAGACAGTGCAGGGGATGACCAGAGACTGCAGACAGTGCAGGGAATGACCAGAGACTGCAGACAGTGCAGGGAATGACCAGAGACTGCAGACAGTGCAGGGAATGACCAGAGACTGCAGACAGTGCAGCAGGGATGACCAGAGACTGCAGACAGTGCAGGGGGATGACCAGAGACTGCAGACAGTGCAGGGGATGACCAGAGACTGCAGACAGTGCAGTGGGATGACCAGAGACTGCAGACAGTGCAGGGGATGACCAGAGACTGCAGACAGTGCAGGGGATGACCAGAGACTGCAGACAGTGCAGGGGATGACCAGCGACTGCAGACAGTGCAGGGAATGACCAGAGACTGCAGACAGTGCAGGGAATGACCAGAGACTGCGGACCTTTGGGGGGAGGAAGGGGGAGCGGGTACCTGAATTTGACAGGCACCCGCTCCCACTGCTGCGCGGAGTTGTCCTTCCCTCTTCTTCCCGGGCCGGCTTCTGTGACAGCCGGGTGTCCACTGCGCATGTGCTGCTCTTTGTGAATGGCCCGGCGCCTTCTGGGACCTTTCATGTGTCCCAGAAGACACCGGATCATTCACAAAGCGCAGCACATGCGCAGTGGACACCCGGCTGTCACAGAAGCCAGCGCGGGAAGACTGTGCAGCGCTGGAGCGAGGAACAGGTAAGGCCCTGCAGGAGAGAACAGCTGAGCGGCCGGCCTGGTATTCTGACATGGTGGCAGCAGAAATACCGGACCGGCCGCTTTATATTCGCTCCATAAGACGCACTGACATTTTCCCCCCTTTTTTGGGGGGAAAAAAGTGCGTCTTATGGAGCGAAAAATACGGTATGTTTGTACAAACTGACTACTTTTTTCCAAATAAGTAATGCAACTTTCAAAGCTTGCCTTGACATCTACTACTACATGAAAACAGAACTTTCTTGTGCACGTCATATAGTAAACATACACCTTTTTTTGGATCATTAAACAAAGATTGACCTGCCTAAAATGTCTATATATTTGCCAGCTGAACTTATATTCGCTTGCCTTTAGGCTGTCCCATCATTCCCATCAAGAGCTTATGAGATATGACTGTGCATATGATATAAGAACACAACTATATAGACAATATTGTTGCACTTTAAAGTTTTTAGTTTTTGATACTTACAAGAAAAGTATAGGCTCCCCCCCCCAATTATACTTACCTAGGTGGATGTGGAATCTGTCCCCCGTTGGCTTTAAGTGTGAGAACTCAGCGATCACATGACTGCTGATCACTGAATTCTCACAGCTGCTCTGAGCAGAGAGCGGTGACTGTCAGTCACCGCTCTCTGCTCTGCTTACTCCCCCCGGCCTCCCCGCACTCATTGGAGGGAGCGGCTGGCTCAAGCTCTCAGCGGATCACTGAGAAGCTGAGCTAGGTGCCGTTCCAGACAATGGGGTGGTGGTCTTTCCCCAGCCTGGACCAGCCAAGTGACGTCAGCTGAAAATGGATCCACAAGAGAAGTACAGCCAAAAGAGCTTGGCTGTACTTCTCCTTTAAAGCATGACCATTGTAAAGTCCATGCTTGCAAACTGGCATAGTGAAATACAAGCAGCCATGATTTGTACCTCTTCTTCTGCTCCTTACTATTGGTCCATATCTAAGATAGGTGCTGACTATTAGGAGGGGGTGGGCCCATGCAGTAAAACAGTATTAGAAAAATAAATTGCTGCAGGTTTTGGAACTTCCAGGATGAATGAAGGGTAATGAAAAGTAAAGCCTGCTACCTCACACTGCCTGCATTCAACTGTAACATACTCAGTGAGCTCCTGAACCCCTCTTTTTCCCTCTCATTTTCATTTCTTTGGAACGAGCAGTGCAAGTTAGTTGCAGACATGTACACTGCTCTATTTCCCTACATACAGTGGGACCGTGAAGCACAAACAAAATCACATTCTACCAGGAAGTCTGATCATAGTAGCAATAAAAAAAAAAAAAAAAAAAAGTAATTCAGAGATTTTGAGGAGGACAAGAGCAACAGAAGGTACTTTTGTGAGTTAAGAAAATACACAGTACTTCAGTATTTATTTAAACCAGAGTTTAGTGGCACTTTAACCTGTAGTACAAAATAGCATTAAAAGCGCAAATGCATTCCCCTGATCTTTACTTACGGTCAATCTGTTGGAAAGAAAAAAGGTTAGCCAGTAGCAACATTTCTTATGTTTATAATAAGTGGAATAAAGAATGTTTTAAAATGCATTAAAATGTATGTAAGGCTCAAAAATAAGATGGCATCTTGTGGGCCAAAGGCACAACTCAGGAAGCCCAACGAATGAGCTACAACAGATATAACGTAAATCTTTTTAAAAACCTTTGTTTGTTGTAAGCAGAAACTGCAACCATCTAACATCCCATTTGCTATTCTTTCTGTGTAGTAACAAAGTACCGTTGTTTTCAATTCTCATTAGCTCAGAATGACATATGGTCTTCACATCCCTTGAAGCCTCAGCTTTGACAGAGATTACTTTGGATTCTTTTGTCACTGTTTGTCAATGTTCATACATATTTCCTTCATTCCACAAACCCCCCATTAAATATAAAATAAAAACATTTCTTAGGAAAACCATTGACTCTGCCACATTTCATGTTTTAAAGGGCTAATGTCATCTAGCTAAACATAATGGTGCAGTCATCAGTTTTGTGGGTTAAACCAATACACACAGAGCCACAAAAGTAAGACAGTAGTCAGAAATTAGGAAACCCTTTTGACCTCCAAATGATATTCAGTTAGAAATCCATGCACACATACATGCTAGTGTGGTTTACAGACACCATTGGCACCAGCCTTATGTCAACTGCATGTTGGGTGGTTCCTTGTACCCTAAAGAGATCATGAAGTGCCTATAGACATAAAAGGCAAGTTACCTCTCCTGAGGTATATGTCAGTGCCTGATCACTGCTATGTCTTTCACAAATCGCTACTTGTGTTGATGCCATATACTACAGATATCACTGTTCTTCTAGCATAAACACAAGTAGTGATTTTAACGGGCACAACAGCAATCAGGCACTGATATACATCTAAGGAGAGGTAACTTTTCTATGTACACCTAATGTTTAAAAAAAAAAATGGCCGGAGTTCAGCTTTAAACCAAGGTTAGCCATGTGGTTATAATTTTCAAATCTTACTGGGCTCACCGGAAAATATTATTTATATTATTTTAATTAACAGTTTGTTTTGACATATCTTAATAAAGTGGAAATAAAGGTATGAATGTGTGCCAGTTTTCAGCCATGTTTATTGGCTGGCACAAGATGATTTCACTCCTGCGGATGCGCAGGAGCTAGTCATTCAGCATACAGGGATTGGACCGGCTGCTATAAGTTGAGCTGCACATGGAACACGAAAAAGCATCAGCACTACAGGTGAATGGGAACCCCAAGTCTAGTAAAAATAATAAAGACAATTATTGATGGTAGCACTCTTCCAATCTCATTAAGGAAAATGTTCATTCATGAAGAACTCTGCTGTGTATAGGCCTTGTGCTCTCTTCTAATAGCTCCTTTGACAATAAACAAAAATAAAAAGAGAGGGCGAACCAGCCTAGCGCATTACCATAAAAATGATTTATTAAAAATATATTCTCCAATATACTCATGAAAAAATAAAACTTGAGGCACAAAGAATCAATCCAGTAGTGAAACTAGAGCAATGCCCATCCGCAGGGGCGTAGCTTATGTATTTTTCAAGAGCAGTACCCTCTTCATCAGAGCTCTGATATAGAGGGTACTGCCCTCGAAATAGGTAAGATATGCCCCTACGGATGGGCACTACTCTAGTATCTCTACTGGATTGATTCTTTGTGCCTGAAGTTTTATTCTTTTGGAGTACTTACTTTTCATTGCATGCCTCTTCTGCAATAAAAAAGCTTGCCTTGTCACAGGATGTAATAGCAGAACTTTAATTCGACCTGAAAGCTGAACTCCAGCCAGATATAGAAACACAAATGAATTCAGCTCTGTAACCATTAAAACAGGGTTGGTTCACAACATGTCCAGTGACCTGCACTTTTCTGTCACTGCAATGACACATAGAAAACAATGATGTTCTATGTGGCTTGTTCACACCATGATTCTGTGTACATGCGCAGGGTGGTAAAATGCAACAGGTATGCATCACAACACACATTAAAGCATGTAAATGCACCACAATGCATCTGCAGTGACAAAAAAGGTAAGGATATGGAAATTCTCACACCTTGACAAAATATGTTATTAGTTAAAGCGGAGCTCCAGTCAATCCTAAATAAAATTAAGGTCAGCAGTTACAAAAACTGTAGCTGCCAAAAAAAAAGCAGCAACTCACCTGTCTCGCGATCCAGCGGTGTACTCACCACAGCCGGTTTCACTGGCTGTCCTCCCTCACCAGTGCCAGCATCCTAAGTGTGAGCACCCAGCTGTGACAGCTTGCAGCTTCACAGCGCGGCACCTTGTGAATAATCCTGTAGTATTTGTTACGTGTCCTAGAAGACTATGGGGAAGGAGGGAGGACAACTTCCTCTTCCGAACGCCTAGGCGGTTGCAGCAGAATTGGGAACGGTTACCTGTCATAATCAGGTACCCGCCCTTCCCACCCAATCCTCAAATGTGCCAATTCCTCATGGGGAGCGGGGGACCAGTGCTTAAAGGGGAACTTCTCCTTTTGGATGTATAGTGCTTTAAGACAGGGCTTGACAAATTTGCCGTAAATCTAGGAGCCAGCTAAAAATTTAGGAGCTAGTTTTTTTTTAGTGTAGCATGGGTTGTCAGCGCTTGTGTCAAGGCAACTTCTGAGCAACAAGCTTTACGCGTTGCAATTTTTCACAAGACAATCACGACAAAATTGCACATTTTAGGTGCCATTGAAAATAATGAACCTGTGTTTTGTGATCACAGCAATTCTGCTGCGATCCCGGAATGCCCAGGTGTGAATGGTTCACACATATGCGTTTCTGGATTCGTTTTCAAACTCACAGATTCTCATGAAAGGCTAGATATTATGTGTTCCTATTAAGGTGGTTCACACAGATGTGATCCACATGTCCACAAGTCAATGGGAGGCAGTGTGTGAACTTAGGTGCCAGACGCAATTTTTAGTTGCCATGGAGACCTAGTGCCTGGAATTTGTCGAGCCCTGAGTTTTATAAGTTTACAATATACTAAAACAATGTGGTCCCATCATGTTGGATAAACTGCACAGTCAAACTACATCATCTGACGATCTTCAATGTACCCTGGTTGCACATGTCAGTGCTACAGCTGTCATTTGGAAGTAGATAAAAGGTGCAAGGATGTTGTTGATGTCACCACCCCTATATAGTAATACATCCTCCCTGGACTGAATAGTCATGTGATATTGGTGGAGTGATGTATTTT